TTGAGTATATTAAAAAATCTGTTTTTTGTCCACCTCAGTGAATTACACTCAGCACTTGTCATTGTCATTAATATCATTTTAAAAATTATATTATAGTACATGTTTGGCCATGTGCCACAAAGGAACTCACTTTACCTAATGAAAATTGCAACTACTCAGAACAAAATTTTCTACCTTAGCTGTGAAACTATGGTACTAGAACCTTAAGAAAAAATGTAGTTTATAAAATTTTGAATTCCTGAATTTTTTGAGTACTCAAAATAATCCTGTGTTTATATGTGTGTTGATGAAAGCTGTTTGGATATAAATATTTTCTATTACCTCATAGATGTTTCAAGAAGGCAGACTAGATGACCATTTACTAGCCAGAATTTTAAACAAGCTCCTGGTTTCATTGCCAAAATAAAAAATGGCTATCTCCAGTATTAAAAATAACTAAAATTTTATTATGAAAGTTTTATGACATTGTGTATAGTCTATCCCTGTGATAAAGTGCAAATATCCCAGAAAAGCACAAATTACCAATGTTATTGGTAATTTACTAATCAGATTAATCTATCCATTGTGAGTGAAGGTTCTGACAGAAGGGCATGCACAGACCATGAGAACCCAGAGTGTCTATTCAGAAGTGAAAGGATGCCAAGATAAATTGGAGTGGGATCAGTGGGCCAGGGAGATTGGAGGAGGAGGAGAGAAATGGAAGAAAGGATGTTTCTTTAAAAAAAAAAAAAAAAAAAAAGGAAAAACTACTTATTTTAGTTAGTGTTTCCAGAGAAACAGAATCCGAGGTAACAATTGAAGTGCAAGTAGTTGATTTTATAGGCAGTAATTTGGGAGGCACTGGAAGGAATTTTGGTGGGAGAAGGGGGAGAATAGCGATTTAAGGCAGCAAAGTGAGACTAAGTCTTGCTTGCAGGTATTTTATTGGACAAGTGATCACAGGTAACAAGAGTGAAGGACATTGCGTGTGAAAGAGAAAGGCAGAAAAAGTCCAGTACAACCACTGGTTAAGGTGGCTATGGTTATAATGGCTAGGACTCAATTCCTCAGTACCTCCTGAGGAGCCTTCTGGAACACATCTCAGAACCGTCCATTTATCTCTGTAAAGAACCAAATGGATAAACGTTGATTCATTAACCTAGGACACAACACAGTGTGCGGGAAAGTATATCTCAGTTTTGGAGTCAAATGGACCTGCTTTTGTTTCTTGGTACTGCCTACTTACTAGCTACGTGGGATTGTCATAAAACCTTCCTGAAAATTTTATCTTATATCTGTAAAATAGGGAGTACAGATATCTTATATCTGTAAAATAGGGAGTAATACTGCCTATTTTTCTGATAAAAAACCTGATAAATTACCTCAGAAGTTGTCAATAATTATTCCAAACCTTTAGCTCAAATTATTTTTGCCTAAAATAGCAAAGAGAAATTTTACTTTGAGACTCAAAGTTTTCTCTTGAAAGACAAAACTGAAATCCAATTGCTTTTTACTAGCTTATCTTACATACCTTTGATAGAGGCAGGAATGCAAAGGAAAGCATCGAACAATGATGTTAAATAATAATTACATTTAACCACCATGGTACAAACTGAATTTATGAACCTTTTCATATTTTTGACATGTACATGGATTGGTAAATATAAACATAGATAGTATTTTATTACTTTATATATATTTGACTTTGTGAATGAATTTGTGAAAACTTTTTCTCATTTTGCCACTTCTGAGATGATAGAATGGAATTATGGTCCAAAGTATCATGTATGTACAGCCTTGAAAGATACCTAAGGGGTCAGAAATCAACACTGATCTTTAACGTGTGAATGAAATCATTAAATCATAATGAAACAAATTTTGACCAACAAAGTCTTTTAACTTTTTATCTTGTTCTCTCTGTTTTTAATATGAAGGATTTCAATTATGTGTAATTAGATGTCCATCCATTTTATTGGAACTTAGTGGCAAAGTTGAGAGTTAGTATAAAATCCATGAAAAGTCTTTCATGGTAATTACTTATTTTATCGCCTCTCATAGTAGGGAGGAAAAGTCCACTCCCAAAGGGCACATCACCTTCCCTCCACTGTCTCACTGACTGGGGAGAGTTTGTGGGATCACAAAGACCTTTGCTCCAGGGTAAAGCAGCTGTTCTGGGTGCTTGCCAACTGAAATGATGGTCTAGCAAAATCTGTCAACAAGGAAAACACGCCACATCCTCATACTCATGTTGTGGCTGCCTTCTCTTTTCCTATTTGGCATACCCCTTGGGACACTGCTTTATACAGAAGGCCAAGACAGGTGACATACGTGTGAACATATGGCACTGCCCTCCTGGGGTAATGTACACGAAAGCATATGGTGCTGCTCTCTTCCTCCTCAGCAAACACAGGAAGGACTTTGTCATAGTTACGTTGTTTATTTTATATATGGTTCTGAATTGTCCCTGAAAGGGGTTAATTTGCATTCTTTCTAAATATAAGGAAATATCCCAGATACATAAAAGAGCTGATGGTTATCTGATTCTTGGGAAATACATATGTGTATAGTATTTTCTATCAATATTTTATAAATATGTTTCTGCATATTTATAACTATACATTCTAAATAAATGTATTTCTAAAGAAGTAAATTACTTTAATCATATATATGTATATATACACATACATATATGTCATATAAATAAAATCACACATATACAACCTTAGTAAAATGATTATCATTTTGTTTTTTTTTCTTATAAGACTTTGTTTTTAAGTGTTTCATTTTGACATATATTATAAAAGAATTTTCAGTTTGTTGGTCTTTTCTATATTTTTACATTCAAGTATTTTTCATTCTCTCTGGCTAACTCATTCCAACTCTACTGATTGTAGTTTAAGACTCTTCTTTCAGGAAGTCCAGTATCCCAAATTAAGAATAAGTTTCTCTTTTGGGGCCTTTTAAAACTTGGCTCTTCCTTGCTATTTTGCTCACCATTGCTTAAACACTTGACGTTAATAACCACAACACATAAACATGGGGAAGAGATGGTGTCCACCTTTTTCACCAGGGTGTTTCTCCCATAATGAGCATGGGTTTTAGCAAGAGGTAGGTGGTTAATATTGAGTGAATAAATTAAAAAATACACCCATATAGGTAGGAAATTATAAAGACAGGAAAAGCCAACAGTAATAGGGAGAAGAAATATCGCAGTTGGAAAGTCGTATCTAGTAAGTAACTAGATGTGGCAATTAAAGAACAAAGCAGAATCAGGAGGGAATCTGAGATATTTTTGGTAAGGGTGGAGAAAGGAGAGAGGTTAATTTCCTTGGCCTGCTGTCTTCAATGACCCAATCTGAATACGTCCTTTGTTTCCAATATTTGGGATGAATTATGTTATTATAAGAAAAGCAATTATGTTGTGTTGCCACCTCCTTTTCCCCCACCTATCTGATGATCCGTGGTCTCTTGTTGACCTGCTCCAAGGCCAATTCATTACCTGCTATTGACAAACCAAATGTAACATCACCACCCTGAAGACCACACAGATGAGACTCTCCACTGAGGCATAAAGACACTTCTGTCTCTGGAAGATAGTGTTCTTTCAACTTCATGGAGCTGCCCTAGAAAGTCACTCAGAATAACATTATTCTGGTTTCCAAGGGCTCTTCTTTCGTTGCCCTTGTTTAGACTCTGCTTTTTGGCAAAATGTTCATTATTTGTTGAAGGAAGTTATTTCAAATACCAGATAAGTATTTACTAGAGATATCTAGATAAAATGCACCTCTGTGCCATTTTAATTATTTCAAATGGCATTTAAAATACTCCATTTAAATGTTATGATTTTGTGAAAATGCCAGATGCAATGCTTAGTACATAATTGGCAATTTATACATGTTAATGTCCTGCTTACATTGTTTGATAATTATTATCCATGTACCCTAATAATGCCTTTACATTCCTTATAGAAGAGAGGTGGGCAAGCTCTTTATGTTAATTTCCAGTTAGAAAATACTTTCAGCTTTGAGGACCTTGCAGTCACTTTCATTGCAATAGTAGAGATGGATAATATGTAAACAAATAGATGTAGTTGTGTTCCAATAAAACTTTATTTACAAAACTAGGCAGTAGTCTGTATTGGTCCATGGACTATAATCTGTTGATCACTTTTATAGATACTTTAATATCCCAGGCAAAGGCGTATGACATTTGGTACATTGTTAGGCCCCTAAGAGACTTTAACTAGATAGCTAAGCAGATGTTTGTTATGTGTGGGACAGGATGGGGAGTGTGAAGTAGGAGTTGGTGAGTGTATTTTCTTACGTTTCTCAGGTTTTCTAGGCAGCATTATAATTCGTTGATAGGTTTTTGGTTTTTATTTGTTTCTTGTGGATTGCTGAACTGTATGATACAGTTTAATAGCAGTAGTTGATGGGGCATGAGTGGTCAATTATATTTTAAAAACCCACAGCATGGTCATCAAGGACTATGTGCCTTATTGAAAGCTTGCTATCCTTGACTTCTTTAAATCAATTTGATTAAAGATGAGTTGCATTTTATATTTACATACAGTAAAATGAACCCATTTAATTGTACTATTTGATAACTTTTGACATATTTACACAAGTGATCATTGTGAAATCATGATAAACACCACATTTCCATAACTCCAAAATGTTCCCTTTATGCTCTTGCCAAACCATGGTTTCTTGAAATGCATTTCTTGAAATGCATGGATCCACTTTCTGGTACTGTAGATTAGACTTGGCTTTTCTATTATCTCCTAAGAATGAAATAATATAGTATTGTTTCATGTCTTGTTTCTTTTGCCTGCTATAGTATTTTTGAAATAATACATGATGTATGTATATATCATTTTTTCCCTTTTAATACTTAGCAGTATCTGAATGTATTAATGTATCAGAATTTACTTAGACACTATATTAGTTGGTTCTTGCATTAATATAAAGGACTATCTGAGACTAGATAGTTTGTAAAGAAAAGAGGCTTAATTGACTTACAGTTCTGCAGGCTATACAGGAGCCATGGCATAGGAGGCCTCTGGAAACGTAAAATCATGGCAGAAGGCAAGGGGAAGCAAGCACATCTTCACATGGCAGCAGGAAGCAGAGAGTGAAGGGAGAAGACACTTTCAACAACCAGATCTTGTGAGAACTCACTATCATGAGAACAGCAAGGAAGAAATCCACACCCATGATCTAATCACCTCCCACTATATCCTTTCCCAACATTGGGGATTACAATCCAACATGAGATTTGGGTGGAGACACAGAGCCAAACTATATCAGGCACTCAGCTACTGGTGGACATGTGGATTGTCTCTAGGTTGAGGCTATTATAAATAAATCTTTAAATACTCTGTACAGACCAAGAAGTGGAATTATTTAGTTATATGATAAGTATACGTTAAATTTTTAAGAAATTGCCAAACTACTTTCTACAGTAGTTTTATCATTACATTACTGCCAGCAGTGTATGACAATTTCCTTTGCTCTGTAGTCACACCAGAGCTTATCATCAGCCTTTTTACTTGTATCCATTTCTAAACACTGTGTCGTTAACCTATTGTGATTTAAATTTACATTTTCCTGATGATAAATATAGTCAATACCATCTCATGTGGTTATTAGCCATTCATATATTTCCTTTTGTGTTATCTCTGTATTTTTTGTCCAATTTTTGATTGAGTAGTTTGCCTTGTTATTACTGAGCTGTAAGAATGTTTGAAGTATTCTAAAGTCCTTTTTCAAGTTTGTACATCTCAAGTATTTTCCCCCAGTGTTTGTCTTGCTCTTCAGTCACTATTGAATTCTCTAAAAAAGGCAGCTTTTAATTTTTATGACATCTAATTTATAAAAATATTTTTATCTTCGAAGGTTTTTGATCTATTTAATAAATCATTGCTATCCAAATATTGCAAATATTTACCCCTATTTTTTATGAGTTTAATATTTTTAGCTTTCAAGGTTAAATCTATGACCTATCTCAAATTAACTTTATGGGTAGGTTGTGGTATCAATTCAAGATGCATTTTCAAGTGGATATTCACTTGTTCTAGCACCATTTCCTGAAAACAATATAATTCCTTCATTTAAGTGTCAAGGCAACTGTTAAAAATGAATTGATGATATATGTGTGGGTCTTTATGTGAATTCTTTATTTTGTTGCACTAATCTATGTATCTATATATAAACAGCATAATGTGTTAATTATAGCTTTATGTAAAGTTATGGCATAAGGTAGTGTAAGTTTTTCAACTTTACTATTTAAGAAAGTCTTCTGACTATTTTAGATCAATTTCCTATCATATAAATTGCAGAAACAGTTTGTCGGTTTCTGCAAAATTGCCTTTAAAGATTTTGACTGGGAGAACATTGAATCTATAGATTAACTTGGGAAAATTAACATAAAAAAGATGAGTGTTCAGTCAATGAACATAGTGTATATTTCCATTAATTTAGGACTTCACTTTTTACCAGCCATGATTTATAGGCGTTCTTGCAGATGTTGCTCTAATGTTGTTAAGTGTATTCCTAAATATTTCATGTTTAATGTTTCTTTTTTGTAAATTACATAATTACTATAAATCATTTAAGTTCAGTTTTCAATAATTCATTGCTATTATATAGGAATACAATTTATTTTACATATTGTCTTTTTATACTTCCGTGTGCTTAACTCATTTACTAATTCTGGTATTGTTAATATAGATTCCTTAACATTTTTTATGTATGGTCTCATTGGGGAGAAAAGACAGTTTTAGGTTTAAAAAAATTATTTTCTTCTGGAAGTTTTGTGGTTCAGCTTGTACATTTATGCCTATGGCCTATTTAAATTTAATTAATTTGTATGTTGTTGAGCACCATTATTTACTTTCTTCCCTTTTATTTATTTTTATTTTTTGCCTTATTGGAATAAGGATCTTCAATGAGACACTGAATAGAATTGGCAAGAATGGGCATCCTTGTCTTACTTTAATCTTAAGACTTTCACCATGACGCATCATGTGATATGTAGGTTATTTATAGATGTCCATAATCAGGTTGAATATGTTCCTTTATTTCGATATTACTGAAAAATTTTTTCATTAATGGATAATGAATAGTCACATGTGGAAATCATATGCTTTTCTTTTTTATTCTGTTGACATAATGAATTACATTGATTGGTCTGAAGATATTCCGCATATCATGCTGTTGCTGATTTCTACTTATTTTGTTGATAAATTACCTATGCTTCTGTGTTGATCACTGATAGCTCTTTCAGTTGACTCCTGTCTCCCTTCATCATATCCCCATCATGCGGTGATTTGTTTGCGTGTACCCTTTCTGGCACTACAAGGTTTTCCAGGCTCATCTAGTATATTTTGTGTTCTAGCTCTACCATCAATTATTTGTCCAACGAATCCTGGTTTCTTTTGTTGGATGAGCATAACAGAAAGCAAGATCTGGACACTAGACATGCTTATTACTACTGGGTTTCATTGCTTCTAGGTCCTTTCAGCTGACATTTCAGATGTCTATATTAAATATATGTATATATGCTAACCCATAGGTATGCACATATCAATAAATATTTCTAGATGTAACCATCTGTGTGTCTATATTCAACTACAAATAAGTCCATACTTATGTCTCCAACTCTGATCCATTACCGCATGGTTCTTCCTGGTCTCTTCTCTTAGCTTGTCTATAAATTCCCACTCCAACAGTGAGAAACCTGACTCTCGCCATCTGACAACCATTTACTTCCTTGCTTAATTCTGGTATACATGAATAGTGGTTCTGCAATTATTAAACTGTATCTGAAAGGGAAACAATGTTATCAATTACAGTATAAAAATGCTTTTGTCTATAGTGTTGCAAGCTACACTTATTTCCAAGCTAACTTAAACCTGTGCCCTAATCCTTTTCTAAGGATGTTTCATATAGTTGTAATATATTTAGATTCTTTTGTCAAATATGCATTTTGTTTAGGATCTCTGGACCTCTTTAATAATTCTTAGGAAAAATTGCATTCATTAATATTTAATCTTTGTTCTGTGATAGTCTATGGATTTTGACAAATGTATGGTATCAGGTATATACTATTACAATATCATACAGAAAAATGTCATTGTTTTAAAATAATCCTCTATGTTTCAACTAATAAAACCTCCTTTTTTTCCCTTGAGCTCTAGTAAGAACAGATTTTTTACATCTCTGTAGACTTTTTATTTCCAGAAGTTTACTAATTCGAATTGTACATAGCAGTTTCATCCATGTCTTTTCATGGCATGATTATTTTTTCTTTCTTTTTAAAAGTTTCTTTGTTTCTTATTGTTCTAGCTAGGACTTTCAGTACCATGTTGCGTAGGAGTTGTGAGATGGGATATCTTTGCCTATTCTGATTTTAGGGGGAAATCACCTAGTTTTTCACAATTAGCTGTAGGTTTTTGTTGTTATTCTTTATTCATTTGAAAACGTTTCCTCTCTATTCCTTGAGATTAAGAGTTACATTAAATGAGTGTCACTCATCAAAAGACGTGATCATTTGATGTTTCTTTGGTTTGGTATTGATGTGGTGAGTGCATTGATCTATTTTCAAATACTGAAAAGCCCTGAAGACATGGAATAAATTCTCTCTCTCTCTCTCTCTCTCTCTCTCTCTCTCTCTCTCTGTGTGTGTGTGTGTGTATTTACACAATGTTGGATTCAATTTGCAAAAATTTATTAAGAATTTTTACATCCATTTTTCAAGAGCGATAATAGTCTACAGAGTTTTTCTTTATGTAATATCTTTATTTGGTTTGGATATTAGGGCATTGCTAGCTTCATAGAATGAAATAGGAAGAGTTATCTTTGTTTCTATTTTCTGAAAGAGATCATGGTGACCTGGTATCAGTTTCTCTTTTAAGTGCTTTGGTAAAATTCACTTGTGAAACCCTCAAAGACTGATTCCCCACCCCGTTTTTAGTTGCGAATATGAAGTGGGAAAAGAATGTATCATCTAATGATAAAATCTCGTTTTTGTAATGGATCTGTGTTTGTGGCTTGTGACCTGTCCTAGTATTTCTTCTTGTATAGCTTTCTCCATCCTTTAGGTGAAACAGGAAGGGTAGAGGTGGCTGGAGTGATTAAATAAACTTCCCTCTTGGCTCTGGGACAAGGCTGTGGTGTAGCCTTTCCTGCTGGAGAGTAGGCATTTTTTTTGATGGAGGAGTCTCTGTGCATATTGTACAATGATTATTCTTCCTCTCTTTCTGACAGTCATGAAGGGATCTTTCTTGGTTCTCTCATGTGAGAACCTGATGAGGTTACTGTATATAAATTCTTCTACAAACTTCAGCCCCCAGGAGTTTCTCATACTCACTCTAGTCCACCCTCGCTTTTCAGCAAGTTATCAACATTTCTACTCAAGTATTTGTATTTGCCAGGGTTCTCCAGAGAAAGAGAAATGAAAGAAGATACAGATATGCAGTAGGCCCTTGAACAACAAAAGTTTGAACTGCATGGGTCCCCTTTTAATGGATTGTTTTAATAAATATATTGGAATTCGGGAGAAGTTTTATCACAATTTTAAAAAAATTTGCAGATAAACCATATAGCCTTGAAATATCAATAGAATTAGGAAAAAGGTAGATATGAAAAAGGTATGTCATGAATGAATAAACTATATGTAGACTGTAGTCTTTTTATCATTTACTATCATAAAATACATACAAATCTATTATAAAAAGGTAAAATTTATCCAACTTACACAGTACAATTATAGACCAAATATGGCATCATTTGCAGTATAAGCAAATGTAAAGGTACAATATTAAATCATAACTGCATTAACAGTAGTATATGCTGTACTACTGTTATAATTTTGTTGCCACCTGCCATTGATATTGTAGTGAGCTTAAGTGTTGTGAGTATCTGCTTAAAACCATATGTTGCTAATTATCGCCACATGAGCAATTCATGTAGTAAATAAAATAGAGCAGTAAAAAGTAATCTCTCATAGTTCCCATCTATTTTTACCATATTTAGTGCAACACCATAAACTCTGAATAACACCAAGAGATACACACTAAGTTCCAGTAGTGATGTTGAAAGTACTTCCAAGAAGCAGATAAAAGTTGTAATATAATAAAAAATGAATTTCTTCATATGTACTATAGGTTAAGGTCTGCAGCTGTGGTAGCCTGCTATTTCAAGACAACAATGGTTAAAAAAGAAGGACAATTGTGGAAAAAAAAAGAAAAAAGAAAATTAATGCAGCTACTCCAGCTGGTATGCAAACCTTGCACTCTTTGAGAAATATTTTTAATCATATTGAAAATGCAGTTTGTATATGAG